GGTACTACGAGTGTCACCGCTGGGAGCCCTGGGGGCTGCATCATCCAATGGGGTATGTAGAGGGATGAATGTGTCTTTAAGACACCTTGCTGCTCCTCTGACCGTGGGGCTTTGGGCAGAATGCAGAAGAGGTAAAGAGCGGCTTCTGAAAGAAGATATGCAAATTAGGGGGGAATTTGCATATCATCTTCCAATCTCAAGAGTTTTTTTTTCAGAAAAAAAGCAGTCTAGATGGGGGTTTTCACATGAAACCCCCTTTTTTGAAAGAACCCTTATTCCTCAGAAACTGAGGTTTACAGGGGTTTATTTTTTCAAAAAAGGGGGTTTTCACACGAAAAACCCCATCTAGACTGCTTTTTTTCTGAAAAAAAAACTCTTGAGATTGGAAGATGATATGCAAATTCCCCCCTAATTTGCATATCTTCTTTCTGAAGCCGCGGGTAGTCTAGATGTAGCCCAGGAGTCCCTCTGCCAACCAAAGATCAGCTGGAGTGCAGTGTTCGACTCCCGCCTTCTTCTGCTCCTCTTCACTGACTCTGTGGAAGTAATGCCACCCAACCTGGGACCTCTGGAGCTTAGTGCATGAGCCTACCACTTGATCTAAAGCCAGCTGGCTCTCAGCTAAGGCTGTAGTGCAAACTCATTCTCTCTCTCTGTATGTGGTTTACATGCCACTCCATGCGACAGTGAGCCACACCCAGCAGGTGGGTGGGTTACACAGAAGCTGGCAGAGTGGGTGGCTAGGAGCTGGAACGAGGGCCAAGAGTTTGGCTCTCCGTCCTCGAGCGATGGGACTTGCTCAAGCTAACGACAGAGACGTCCCACGGTAAATCCATTCATCATCACATGCCAATGTCATCTCTGTGTTCCAGCAAAGGCTCAGCTTGATTAGAATGGTCCAGGGACAGACATCAGGGGAGCATTGAGTAAAGAGTCATCAACCAACTACGTAAGTGCTCAGACTCAGAGACGCAATCACTTCTGTTGCCATTACGTTGCATCCCCATCAGCTGGGCTGGTTGAGTCAGTTTTCCAGCTGCTACCCTGACAACTTTGCTACATTCATTAAAATCGGAGTAAGGTGTGACCGGGGTTCCAATGAACCAGCTGAAGTCACTCAGTTAGGGTGAACTCCAAAGAACAGGGCAGCCACTCCCCAAAGCTGGTGGTTATTCCAACACTGGGATTTACCAAGACAGCACAAAACAGCCTCTGTGATACCTTACTGGTCATTGTCACAGGGTGAGCACTCACCCCCACGGCACCTCCAGTTAGTCACTCTGGAAATTAGTTCTTCAGCCCTGGAGTGCCCTGTCCTGTCCATAGCACCCTTTGCTCCTAGTGCTGTCCTAAGTCAATGCACCTGCAATTTAGGGTCCTCCCTTCCCAGGGAATCCCCAATCCTCCTATACCTGCCCTGCCTCAGTGACTCACTGCCAGCCATCATCTAGCCCCTTCCCTCAGGGGCAAACTGCAGTCTGAAATGGCCACTCATCTCTGGCAGGGGGTGTGGACTTGCTGCCTTCTTCGTCTTTGGCTATCTCCCTGCAGACCCAATATACTCAGGCCCTGCAGCCTGGAAGCAAGGTCAGGGCAGAGCTCCCCCCGCTGTAACTGCCTTTCCCTAGCACTGCTCTGTCTCAGGAAGCCTTCAGCTTCCTTGGCAACCAGGTCTCCAGGTAGAGCAAGAATGTGTGTTATCCCTCCAGGAGCCCTTATTTATACAGACCCAGTTTGGCCCTAATTGGCTGGTTCTACCTCAGCTGTGGGCTCCGCTCTCTCAGCCCTATCCCGGGCTGGGTTTTAACCCTTAAAGGGCCAGTGTGGGGCAGACACCCCGTCACAGTCATCCAGAAGCTGACCACACAGTTCTCTTCAAGCAGCTCAGCCTTAGGTTTCTACCCAAGTCAAATAAAGTTCTACCAGTCCCAAAGGATCAGACACATTGCCTCCCAGGTCAATGAATATTTCAGATTTTATCCCAAATACATGCTCGCAGCCAATTCTTATTAACTAAACTTTATTAAAAGATTGGTTAAAAGCTCAGTATACAAACAGACATGAGTACAGTTCTAAGAGCAGATTCATAGTAGAGCTGTTGAGCTTTGTAGTTGCAAAGAGCTCTTTTAGAATTTAGTCCATAGGTTATAGTCTAATGTCCAACATCATATTCTGGGTGTACCCTGCACAAAACCTTAAGCAGATGAGAGACAGCAGGATCAGGACTCCATGGTGTTCCTATGCCATTTCCTGACAGCCCCTTGACTATACAGTCCTGGGTGAACAATAAGCTTTTGATGTGATCTTCCGCTTCCCAAACATCATGGTAATTAACATAAGGCAATTTAACCATTAAACAATGAGCAGTCCTTACCGTTTTACTCATAAAAGCTCATGATATAATATATTTGTTAATCTCTAAGGCATCACAGGACTGCTAGTTGTTTTTAAAGCTACAGACTAACATGGCTACCCCTTAGACTTTTTATCTATAAAGTCTGTGATAAACTATTTAAAAGAGACATATGGAGGATTAAATAATTTCTCCCAAGATTTGCTTAAATGTTAATATTCCCTTTGATCTCTTAAATATCTATAGTAATAGAGACAGGCCCGTACGCAGGGGCGGTGTGAAGGGTGTAAAAGCCCCCCCTTGGTTCCCCAAGTAAGCATGCTCCAGCTGGCCAGGGGGAAGGCTGGGGTGATATCCCCACTTACTTGGGGAGACCATAGGGGGTGCATTCATGCCCTTGTGGTCCACATTTACAAAAAAACCCACCACACCCCCCGTAGAAATTCCTGTGTACAGGCCTGAGAGAGGATCTGTCTGTTTACATGGCTAACATCTAAAAAAATATATAAATAAACATGCACAATTAGGTTTGTATTTCAAAGTTCTGGCCTATCTAGCATTGAATGGCCTTAAACACCATTTATATAATTTTCTAACATGTCTCCACAAGCAGGCTCCGGATTAGGTAGCCTGCAGCATGCTGAACCCTCTCTCGCGATGTGTCATACTTGGCATAAGATTTGTCGCAATTGTATAAAAGTGGTAGCAACAATGGATTTTCTGGTCATATTCTAATCAGATCATATCACACAATGCAAAGTACACCCCATGCCTGTAAGGATTTAGGAGCGCAATTAAAAAAGTGGTCCTGATTCTTCATGACATCACAGCTGTTTTACACAGTTTTTTCTCACCTCGTTGGAATCACACCATGGTAACAGCAGACAATCAGGCCTAGTATGTTGTGTTGGACCTTGAGAGATCAGGGAAGTAATTCATCATTAAAACATTTGTTCTATCACCGTCCACCTGCACAGAATTCTGGCCAAGCACGAGGTCCCTTGCATTGCACCAACAGGCAGGTGTAGAAGAACATAGCTTTTATTGATGCCCTTGGTCAGAGGGAAGCCAGCATATCAAAGTCAGTTTCTGAAGACTCTCATGGCTTTTCCTTCTCATTTCTCCCTATCATCCTGATGGCAAGCAGGTTGCTCAGGAGGGCACAGCGGGAAGTCTTTAGGGTGAGGGAGAGAGAGTGTTAGCATGGTCCTTTCTCACAATCTTTATTTGTAGGTTAGCTAATTGGCAAAAGTCTGCAAAGCAGAACATCCATGGCTCTCTCTGACATTGATGCCTGTTTAGCAGCTGAGTTGGCATCTTCTGCACAGGAACACGGGGATGCCAGAACTGCCATGCCACAGGAGGGCCCTAGCCCATCCATCCAGTGTCCTTTCTCTGAGAAGCCGTAGGCAACATCTATATTGGATAATAATGGAATAATGTGACCACTTTGCCAATCTACCTCTGTACTTACCTGCCCCCATCACCATGGAATTTGAAGCTGCTACGGCATGGAGGTGGAGGTGTGATTTCACAACTCACACAGGCATACTGACACTAGCTCTCAGCAAGTTACTGCTGCATCAGTGGTGGTATAGCTGGCGTAGCACAGGCTGGGTGGGGTGAGCAGTGGCATAGACTTACTGTGCCAACCACGTACCCATGGGTTTGTACTCAGCATAGCTAGCTGGTTTCATCACTTTCCACTGCCTGTGCTAGCATCACTATGCTATTATTTTCACCTTACTAGTGCGATGAGCGCTAATGAGGATACATATATGCAGGCAGGGGGTCTCAGATGCCTTTAGCACCTGTTGGAGACAGACCTTTGATGTATTTGCCCTCGCAGCTCCCCACCGAAGCAGAGAGACTCGGGGCCAGATTTTCAGAGGTATTTTTGCAGGGACAGATAGCAGCCTACGGGTATGTTCAAAAGCACCTATGCACCCACTGCTGTCTTCTGAAGAAAATGCCAGCTCGGCAAAGGGGATCCTAAATATTTGGTTTCAATGGAGTTTGATGCCATGTGGCGTGAAGAATCCTGTTAATCTGCATCTTCAGCCAGCTACGTGCCTTTGAAAATGTGACCTCCTGCAACTTGCCCAAGGTCCGACAGAAAGGAGACAGACCAGGATCCAGGTCTTCCAAGTCTTGAGCCTATACTCTGGTCTAGGGGAAGCTTTTGTCAGATGTTACATCTAGGCACTTAATACAGCTCCTCTCAGGGCAATGCTGAACTCTAAAGTCTCAGAGGGAATGGCTGTCCCCCATCTGTATTTTGAATGGTTTGTGAATCAATGGTACAAGAGGAGAATGTGGCCTATGCTGGCCGGATAGACCGAGCCTGTCAGCACTTTTCTGGGTTACACTGATTACTTTAAACTCCTTGGATACACATGCCTTTGGGAGCAGAGGGGAGCTGGGGTGTGGGCAGGTAGAGGCCATTGTCCTAAGCTGCTGATGAGTCATGTGAGGAACTCCCTATTTCTGCCAGGGGCAAAACCTCCCAGCAGAGGAGGTTCTTTCCTAAGAAGGGGTGAGGCAGACACGTGTGTCGGCTCATGAAATGGAAGGGGAGGAAGGTCAGGATGTTGAAAGGAACCCAGATGCCTCCTCTCCAACCCCGCCCACGTGAGAGCTTAAATCCCAGTCTGGCTCAGCTATGGGCATTCAGACCTGGCACCCAACAGCACCATGAAGTCAGCTGGTATCTTCCTCCTTGTAGGGACCCTCACCCTCTGGATGGCACAGCCGTCTTGGACTGGCATGACCTTACCTGTGCAACAGATCCTCCAAGGTAAGTGCTGTGAGCAGCTGCTGGCAGCTCTACCCATGGGAGGGCAGAGAGCGGGGGGCTCTTTGGGCTGTAGGGAGGGATCCCCACCCCAGACAGCACTAAGAGGGCTGGCTGCTCTCTTTACTGACCCTCAACCTTGACATTCTGGGATCACAGCTGCTCCTGAATCAGAGAAAGGAAATGTCCTTGTGCCCTGATATGAGCCCAAGGCCATCTCACTAGCAGGGTTTTATACTGTCCACGTACTGATCCTGAGAATGCAGAGACCTTGGAGTGGGGGTTGATGCAAATCCCCCAGTAGGTGCCAACGCTGCAGCTCCTCTTTGTGAATATTTAATCAGATCAGTTCAGTCTGAGCCTGCTTGGTCATGGGGGAGGTTTGTTGGGGACAGGTTCACAGCCAGGCACCCCAATGCATTTCCGAGTAGACAGGGCCAAATCCCCACTTGATGTAAAATGACTGTAGTTCTACCGAAGTCAACAGAGCGACACTGCTCTGGGCCTCTGGCCCTGCCTCTATTGAACAGCCCAGCAAATGGACAGGACTTGCTGGCTCTAAGTAGTTACAACTAGAGTAGCACAGGTTGTTATTATGGGAGCCAGCAGCAAAGCCCCCTCCAGGTTGGGCATTAAATGGATGATTAAACAGCATGGCTGGGAAGCAGGGGTCTGGGATGACAGTGTCCACAGGATTTACCTAGAGACTGGCCTGGCTCCTTTCCCTCCAGATGATGAGGCTTCAGCCACTCATCCCTCAGTCCCCTCGGCCAGGCCCCCCTTGCAGTGTTGTGCTTCTTCAGTCCGTGCTGACATGGCAGCATTTCACACCTGCCTTGCAGTGGCAGAGCTGCGAATGACACACAGAGGCTGGCAGAGGGGATTAGGTGCAGGAGAATTCTGTGGAGGCCTTTCAACCCACAGCAGAATTTGACAGTATCCAGCCTACTTCTACCGCAGTCTGCGCTCTGCCTGGTAGCAAGCACCTTGCGCTGTTGCTCAGCATACTGGGTGGTGTTTAGACCATGCACTTCTTTCTTGCAGTGGAACCTGGAACCTGCCCGGTTGTTGTTCTTAGGTGCAAGATGCACAATCCCCCCAACCGCTGCACATCAGACAGCCAGTGTGCTGGGACAGACAAGTGCTGTGACACCGGCTGTGGGCTGGACTGTATTCCAACTCAGGAAGGTACCTGCTATATTGTTTATAGCCCGGGTGGGGATGGTGGCTCTGCAGGGAGCTTTTGCCCTGTCTCTGCTGAGCCAAGGACAGTATTTCAGCCTTTAGCAAGAACCAAACTTTGTGCTGAATGCTTAGTTTTTCTCCTTGTAACACAGGGTTTGTTTGATAGTTACAGTGAAAGCTGGGACCTGTCCTTGGATCAAGAATAAGTGTCAGATGATAAATCCTCCTAATACATGTAAAAAAGACGACGACTGCCCCAGCATCATGAAGTGTTGCATGTCCAGCTGCGGGAAGCAGTGCATGAATCCCAACCCAAGTTCCTCATCGGGTCAGTATTTCTAATGCTTCTACCATGTTTTGCAGTAAGATCATCCCCTATTCCAGCCCATTGAGCATGGCGGGGGAGAAGGGCTTGTCCAAGCAGGCCTCTCAGGCATCCCTCACTTCAAGGTATGCTAGCCCTTGGTAGTCCTTCATTCCACACACGTGGCATTCCTTGACTTTCATTGTCCAAAGTGATGTGGATCTGAAATGAAGAATAGCACTGGGGTTATAAAGAGAATCACTGGCTCTAAAGGGATGAAGCGCATGGAACTGTAGCTTTCCTGAAGGGACCAGTTGTTGTGGACTTTGAGTGACCTCTGAAGTAATTAATCGTCAGAACATTTGTTCTACCACAGCCAGGAGGGGTCTGAGGTGGGCTGCGGCAGCTGGTGCCCCAGGTGGAACACGCGAATGGTGCCCCCATTGGAGTGACGTCATCATCGGGTGCCCCGGGTGCCCTGTGACGTCATCATCGGGCACCCTGTTGAAGGCAGCGCCCTAGGCAACAGCCGAGTTGGCCTATAGTCACGGGCCGCACCTGACCACAACCCACCTTCATGGGATTCTAAATCAAGTCACTTGTCCCTCTTATTGCCCAAATTGGTAGGTGTAGAAGGACCTCTATTTTCTTGATGGCCATTTTCTTATCTGTCGGTCTGTTTCTTAAAAGTCTCACAACTCTTCCTTCTGTGTTTCCCTGTCTGTGCACTATCAAAAAACCCCAAAACCTAGCTGTAGGCACTCTGCTAATTAGCTGGGTGGCATATGAATTTTTCCTGAGTGGCTGAGCAGGTACATAGAAACATTGGAGGTGTTATGTCGTCCCGTGCTCGCAGTTTTTGTTTGTATGTTAGTCACTTGGGAACAGGCGAGAATTTATAAAATAGAAAATGTTTCAAGATTCCCTCTTGTTTCCTGTTCAAAGGATGTAGGAATTACCACGTCAAATAAAATCATGCTTCCATCTATCCAGTATCTTCTCTTTGAGTTCTAAGTGACTTGCTCAAGGTTAGCCAGGGAGAGTGAGATTGAATTTAAACCTAGGTCTCCCAAATCTGTATCCTAGCCACTGGTCCATCTTTTCTCATTAAAGGAAGCCAGTTTCTCACCACGTCTTGGGTAAGATTCTTGCAAGATATTTATCACAGTTTATCTTGGGGTGACGTTGAACTCAAAGGTCCCGGTGTAAATTGTTGTTCATCGGGGTGCTTCATTAGCAAAAAAAAAAAAAAAAGAAGCTGAATGCAGGTGAAACTGAACGAGTGAGCTTTATTCAACCTGAACTTCTCTGTCCATATGGCTGTGTTGATTACAGCCCAACTCCTCACATTCCCAGTTTCCCTGTGTCACCTCAAAGACTTTCTCCCCAGGGAACATGGGCTCTGACTTCAGTTCCCCTGATTATGATACATCTTCCCTATTTTACAAGCAATTTAATATAAACATTAAAAACAAAGAATTGACACCTTGACCACCTTCAGCCAGAGGTTACTAGTGTGTAGCCAAGTTAGTCTTGTCTTCACCATAGACTCAGGTGGCTATGTAATCCTTGAGATTGTTTGGACTCCTCATCTGAGAGTGACACATCTCTGTCTCCCTGTCACCTATCTCTAAGTCTAGAAAAATATCTCCCCATAAAGATTCCTCCCTCTATGTGGACTTGGCCTCTGGATGGTTCATTCTCTGATGAGCTCTGTATCCTTGTAGGCCCTCCCTGTGTACAGTCTCTGAGCTGTTTTCTTATCTGATTCCACTTGATGGCTAATCTGTAGGACTGTTGGGGAGCAGATGTGGTGGTCAGATTCCTATCTGCATGCAATTTACTTCCATTTTGCCAAGGCAAATTGAGGTTTGTTTTCAGTGAGTACAGTGGCCAGAATGCCATGTCTCACAAGGCGAGCCTTTCAGTTTGACAATCACCAACTTGCTTCCTGTATCAGGCAGGGCATTGACTTCCCAGCAATTTGAGCCATAGTCCACCACTGTCAAGCGCTGCTTTTCTTTGAAGGTTAGTAAGTGTGTTCCCATCTCGTCCCTCAGGCTAGGGCTACACTGTGTCTTATATCAGAAAAAGCTACGCAAATGCACTCCGCATTTTGTGTAGCTTTTTCTGATTCTTTTGTCGGAAGAGGCTTTTCCAACATTTGGCCCATCTAGACTGGGCCAAATGTCAGAAAAAACCCTCTTTCAGAAGCCCCCTTCTTCCTCATGAAAGAGCATGTTTGCGCTTCCACAAAAAAAAAAAGCAGACGTACAAACACATTCCCTGGACACAGCGGGGGGTTTTTGGGATACCTCTGGTATCCCGAACCCCCCCTTCTCCCCCCCGCGCAGTGTAGACATAGCCACAGGAAGCTCATGTGGTAAGAGAATCTCTTTCCCCCGCTGTTTATGGCAGGTGCCCCGCCATTCTATCAAGGAGCAGAGTTGTATATTCATCCTGGCCAATAAACACTCTAAGGGTACATCTATACTGCACTGTTATTGTGGAATAACTAGTGTCATTCTGAAATAACAGCGCGAGCGTCTACACAGCAATTCCATTATTTCGAAATAATACGAAATAGCGGATGGCTTATTCCGACTTCCATAAACCTCATTCCATGAGGAATAACTTCTCTTTCAAAATAGCTAATTCAAAATAGCGGCAGTGTGGACGCTCCACTGCTGCTATTTCAAAATAGCTCCTCACCAGGGCCATTCTAAGTAATTTCTCCCCAGTGCCTCCTGGGGCTCTAAATTAAGGTAGCACGTCCACTTTAGAGAAGTCTGCCTCGGACTAATTTTGAGGCTTCCCTGTAGTGTGGACGTGCTATTTCAAAACGAGCTATTTCGGAATTTATCTTTCAGAATAGCTTATTCCGAAATAAGTGTGCAGTATAGACATACCCTCAGACAGCTGTCTATGCCCAGGTATGAAGCACATCTTTTTTGAATGACATCCTTACATACCTGGGTAAGGACGACAGCTCCCTGCCCACAAATCATGATTCTAGCCTGCACACTCAGCTCACCTTTTTATATTAACAGTATGGTTCTCCTCCTCCCAGTACTTGGCTTTTCTCCACTACAGTCGCTCTGCTGAGTCCTTTTCCATAGCCTCCTGGATTTCCATCAGCTTTGCTGTTGTAACTGAGAGAGGGTGCATCCTGTTAGTGGTTTCAGCATCCTGACCCCCTCTCACATCTGACGCTGATCTCAGGGAGTCAGCTAGCTCCAGTAATCATCTCGGACAATACCTGATTTCTACCTGGTAGAGCAGATGGGGCAGCAACATGTGCTCACATCTCTCTGGAGCACTAAGAAGGGGACTTGTAGAATTGTCTCTAAAGGCACTAGTGGCCAGAGGGACACTGATAGAATCACTCCATTCCACATACCACAGCCAGGAACTCTTTTCTTCTTGGGTATACCTGAGTTTGCTCTCAACCAGGGATCTGCCAGTATAGAACTTTGTCTACACTAAGTCCCGCCATCGATATAATCTATGTGACTTCAGCATTGCAAATAGCGTAGTTGAAGTCAACGTATTTACCACAGCGTATGGTAAGGTTGGCAGGGGCTGCTCGCCCATTGATGCCAGCTACTCTTCTCATTCTGGGGGAAGTACGGGCGTTGATGGGAGAGTGCTCGGGGATTAATCTGTTGCGTCTAAGCAGAGGTGATAAATCAACGACCAGTGAATTGATTGCTGAGGCATTGATCTCTGGCAACATAGAGATAAGTCCAAAAAGTGATAGTAGCAGGGGTCTAAAGGATTTGGCTAGAGACCTGCATGGGTCCTACTTTCCCTCCATAATTCTCATCTCCAGATGACGAGGCTTCAGTCACTCACCCCTCAGCAACAGAGGACCCAATTCCCCCTGCCACATCCCTCTTGCAGTCTTGTTAATCTTTGTCCATGCTGACATTTTACACCTTGCCTTGCAGAGCAGGGAACAACATGAGGTGCCCGGCAGGGGAATGCCAGTAGAGGCTTTTCAACTACTAGCAGAATTTGTACATGGAGATATACCTATCTCATAGAGCTGGAAGGGAGCTGGAGAGGTCATCAAGTCCAGTCCCCTGTCCTCACAGCAAGACCACATACCATCCTTAACAGATTTGCCCCAGATCCCTAAAAGGCTCCCTCAAGGATTGAGCTCACAACGCTGGGTTTAGCAGGCCAATGCTCAAACCTCTGAGCTATCCCTCGCCCTTTCACAGAGCCCTGCCTGCTCCTACCACTGGCTGTGTGCTGCCTGATAGCCAGGGCCTCTCACTGGAGCTTAGCATGCTGCCCAGCATTGGCGACTGGTGCTTGGGGAGTGAGTACAAGAGGGGCAGGCACCCCATTTAGCATTTAAAATGTTGGTGGGGAAATGGAGGTGGTGCATCTCTGGAGTGCTACCACGAGTCACCTATGCTGCCCAATAGTACAGGGTGGTATTTATACTGGGCAATTCTTTCTTGCAGTGAAATCTGGGACCTGCCCAGTGGTTCCTGTCAGGTGCAAGATGCATAATCCTCCTAACCGTTGTGTATCAGACAGCCAGTGTGCTGGAACAGACAAGTGCTGTGAGACCATCTGTGGACGGAGCTGTGTTCCACCTCAGCAAGGTACCTGCCTCTTTGCTGATACTGGTGTGTGTTGATCCCCCAGGGAATGCTCCCTCTGGTCCTGCTGAGCCCAGGACAGCATTTCAGCCTTGAGTAGCTAGAGATCTGTGTGCTAGGGGCGCAGTCTGATGCAGTGAAACCTAGGACCTGCCCAGTGACCGAGAATACCTGTCTTGGGTAGATCCTCCTAATAAATGCAAGGCGAACCTGGAGTGCTCTGGCACACCAAAGTGATGCATGTCCGCCTGCGCAAAGGCTTGCCTTCCGCTCAGCCAAAGACCTGCACCAAGCCAGTATTTCTAACCCTCCGCCTCGCTCTGCAGTGAGCTCACACCCTGTCCCAGCCCATCGGGGGCGGGTAGGGCAGGCGTGTGCTGTGTGGCCAAGCAGGCCTCCCTCTCCCTACCTGACTCAAGTAGCCCCTCCCACTTTGGCAGGTGCCGCTCCTTTTAGTCCCAGTGGTACCTGCATGCCACACAGATTTGACATCCCTGCTCCTTGCTGTTGAAAGTTACTTGCAATGAGGAGTGATGGCACAGGGGCTACAGAATCACTGGCACCACAGGAATGAATCGCACAGAACTCTAGCTAGTCTGCAGGAATCCCTTGCGTGGGTCCCTCCTTTTAGGGCTCAGCAGGGTGAGAGGTAAGGCCCCAAGGGGACTGGAGCTGAGTCGTCAGCAGGCAGAGAACAATGTTCAGGGCTTGGCTAGTATCCGGGGATAGGGTTTGTTTACTCTGCCATCTTCCCTTGCAGCCAAATCTGGGACTTGCCCAGTGGTTACTGTCCGGTGTCTTATGATTAATCCTCCCAACCTTTGTGATCATGACCATCAATGTGAGGGGCCAAAGAAATGCTGTGAAACTGGCTGTGGGAGAAACTGCGTCATGCCTCAGAGAGGTACAGTCCTGGTCTCGGGATACGTGGGTCGCCTCTCTCCTGATGACAGGAGGCCCTGGCTAACTGTCTCTGGGGAGCTCAGCCCGGCTCAGTCATTGTTCTGATCTCCAGGTGCTGGACCCAGAGTTCCAGAGCATTTGGGCAGAAGCAGCTCAGATAATGGAGAACTCTTGCAAACATGAGGCACCACCGCCTGCATCCCCTATCCCAGCATGCAGTGCAGGGGTAGCTTGCACAATGATCTGCCTGTGTTACACAGAAACCTGGCCTCTGTCCAACAGTCAGTATAAGGTGTCTCTCCTTGTATGCTGGTGTGAACTGGACAGGCAGCGTCCAGGAAATCAGACGAGTTCTGACGCCCACTGTGGGCTGGATGGTGACAACCCACAGAAAAATACCTGCCTCCACTGATGTTTACATCTTAAGTGTCCAGCCTCTGCAGTGAGATCTCTCCCTGGCTCCAGCTGGGCATAGGGGCTGCCCCCTGGGAAGGATAGTACAGCTCTAGGCTGCAGGCACAAATCACTGCTCGCTGCAGTCTAGAGGTGCCGTATGCTGCTTTACCAGAGAAGTACCTGGGTACTTGCCACCTTCCCCTACACTTGTTACACTGGTGCTGAGCCTGAAACATTCAAATTCATGCTGGCCCTAGTGGAGAGATCAGCATATGAAACCCTGAATGAGTAGCCAAACTGTGGCTGGAAACAGGTGAAACAAAATACAAGTTCAGCATCAGAAAACCAGTGCTGCCATGGGGTGGAAAGTATTGCAGCCACACGGGAAATGGCCACGATTTTGGAACAGGACACAGGAGTCCGAGTTCCCAGCCCCCTGTTCATTCCAAGAGCACAGCTTCCCCTCTGAGACAGCCCAGGATTTTCCCCTTATGGCTTCTGACTTCTTTGTTTCCTCCCTCTCCGCCCCCCCGCAGCGTAGCTTGCTTCGGAAGTAAATCAAGGCACCCCAGGAGCAGCAATGACACCAGACCCCTGTAGCTGAACCTCATGGAATTTCCCCAGGTCCAAAGCAGGAAATCACTTCACCTAACTCCAACTCTCCACCTAAACCATTGGGGAAAAAAGTGGACTCTAGATATTTGAATCGACACAGAGAGCAGAGATGCATGTCACTTAAATGAGGTGATGAAAACAATGATGCAATCCACAGAACTTCACCCAAGAAGGGATTTTTTAGTGAAGTTTCTTACAGGTTAGCCTGCAGTCCAGCGTGAAGATGATATGCAGTTGAAGCAGAGGTACTGGAGCGAGGAAGGGAAGCAACACACCTCTTGGCTTGAAGTGGATTCCATTATATATAAGGTTTTCAATTTGGTTCAATGGCTCTCAGCACCCCTATTTACAAACTGTTCCAACACTCCCCCCCGTCATCCAGTGTGACAATCTACTTATCTGTATAAGGAGCATCTTCCATCTGCTCTGCAGAAGAGGTGGAGAGTCATTGGTCAAAGAACAAGGAATGGTACATATTGTAACCTCCCCACCTCCAAAATTACAATAAACCTGTTCCCCTTTTTTGACAAGAATGTTTTAGTATAAAAGTTCTTTACAATCTAACACCATCTGAAAGCTATCACTGTGTTCAGCACAATTCCAGCTCCAGGCCACTAACACCAGTGATGGAGACGGTGTTTTTAGGCTCTTTTCACATATTTTTTGTACTATCACTTGGTACGGCTCTGGGGAAATTCCTTTACAGGTTCAGATCCTGCCTAGACAGCATAAAAAAACCCAGGAGAGTTTTGTCCTGTGTTAACCCTGAGATTTTTTATCCATGATGCTTTCGTCAGTGTTCCTGAGCAGAAACAGCGTGCCCTTGGCGTGGATCTTATTGACTGGGGCCACCCCTCCCTGTGCTGCTGCCCAAACTTGTTACTCATGGGATTTAATTAGAACCACTTGGACACGTTCCAAATAAAGAGTTGTCTTTCAAGCCTTATCTTTGTTGTTTGTGATTCCAAAGCCTGCCCGGTCGCCCCCACTCTGCTTTTCATCCCCAGCCTCTGCCAGCACAGTC